TTTCGTTAGGGTAGCGCCAGACGTGTTTTGATAGCCAGATGGTATCTGATGCGCGCTACACGAGCAATTACAACATTCTATTATACTAACGCGTTTTTCAGTAGGTATACCATGCACCCTAACCAACATTTGCCATTTTTTGTACGAGGAAGCGTTGTTGCTGGATTTGGGCGAGGTGGTAAAGAATTGGGCTGTCCAACAGGTGAGTGCGAATGACATTCCGCAGTAGTTTCACCTTTTTCCTACTCGTAAAACGTGAAAGCTTTCAAAAGGGGGGAATATTGGGTTGGTCCGTTAGTAATGGTCTCTTCTGCAGACATGATATTTTGCTTAGAAAACGAAATGCTTTTCTGAGGATTTTCATAATATTTGGTGACGGATTTCTTCCTCTTTTAGATGAGTTGGTCAGGTTTTATAAAGGCTGAATTTTGTTGAAGACAAACTGTGCACTAACCTTGAAGGATCCTTGTCTTCGCCATATGCACGGTGAATGGGTGCGTGGCTGCAGTGTCACTTGCTTTCCTCAACACTTCACGGAAAAGAGGCTAGAGGGTATCCCTACCCTGGAGCCGCTTTCTACTACTCCCAGTCCGCACGGCCAGCGCCCCGCCGAACCAGAGCCAGGGTGCCATTCGTCTACACGCTCTCACTTCCGGTCGTTCTGTACCTCTGACTGCGTGTTCGTTACGGGACTTGGCATCGACGCAAGTGCGGCATCTTCAGAATAGCGCCTGCGGAATACGAAAACGACACTCGGGTATCGCCACCCTCCAGCATCGTTCCCGTGCACTTTTTAAAGGAGGAGGTGGTGCACTTCTGCACCCATAGCTCATACATGGAAAGGGCCGTAATAGGAGCTGAGTGTACAGTTTGCATTCAAAATTTGAAGTCGTGAAAAGTGAGCGTTACCTTGACGAAAATGGGCGTTCCTACACGTTTCTGGGTTCGCTCGAGGTGCAAGAACTGCTTAGACCCATTCGTGAAATGCATGACTAGGAAGCGAAACCTCTTACTATAATAATTGGTCTAAACAGTTCAGCAACTTCATTTTCAGGTTCAGAGAAATACACCGCTCCGCACACCTGTCAGTGTGGAGCTGCTGAATCAGCTTATTCTTGAAGATGTACTCTGCGGATGAAGGAGCGCGTCAGGCAGCGAAATTGTGAGACAACGGCGCTTAACCCGTTAACCCGTTTTCTTCCGGTTGTTGAAGCGGGTATGCTACAATTATTGGTAGAAAACGAATGATTCTGACGATATAATACTATCTTGTCACTTGCTCGCTCCAACAACAGGTTGGGAACGGGCTCGGCACCGCGCCAGACTCATGGCGCCTGACAGCCCCTTCGTCCGCACCGAATTATGCTATACACTTGAAATGCCAGAGGATTTTGAGAATCGTGGGTTGTTTGCGGAGCACCATTAATACTGAGCTTCACTCAGTTCAACAGGTTCAAAACTTCGCGGCATGAGTTCCGCACACAGCCGCTCCTCGTGGAGCGATGTTTGAAGACGTAATAAGGAGAATCTCGTTTCGAACACGAGCTTATCAAATCGGAGCTGCTGCAGCTGCTTCTTCAGCATTTTGATCGAATGCAAGAAGGTGGTGTGGAAACGCCGTGACTCATGGGCCAGCCCAATATAATTATCACAAGACGAAATATCGCGTAGATTCTGATTTCCAGCCAATCTGGATGAAGCGGTGGTTAATGCTCTACCAACGGATCTCCCATGTGGTGTTTTCTACGGCTTGGCAAGAATAGAGGGGAGAGAGGTTGTTGATCTAGTTTATCTCGGTTTCTTAGCTTCACGTTCTAGCCTTTCTTACAAGGGAGGTCTTTCAGGTCGTGGCGCGCTTTTTGGAAATGGTTTGTTGCTTGTTGTAGGGGTCCATACAAGGATCACAAAAATGGGTTTCATTTTTGCTATGCGTTTCTGGGTAGGTCAAAAACTGAGTGAAAAGAATTTGACAAGAATGGGCGGTTTTAACAATCTTAATGGGCTCCTTTCTGCTTGTAACTTCGAGCATGCATAGTTTATGAGGTGGTCACTAATTAGGCCTCAAAATAGATTCGATTAAAGTCAAAATGTAAGTATCATGTGGTAACACACTTGGCATGCACCGACGCAAGAGTGATGTTTTTGTCAGCAAACCCTTCACCACCACTGCAAACGGATCGGATGGCGCAGTGGATTCACCACCACTGCAAACAGATCGGATGGCGTAGTGGATAGCACGATGGATTCTGGATGGCACGACAATGCGGGACTCGGTTCGGATCCTCATTGCGGCAACAGTTTTGCATCTGTATCAACGCAACGAGACGAGAACATTTCCGGAAACAAGGTTCTCCACACAAGTGTGCTGGTTTGTAAGGTGTCATCCAGGAAAGGCCAACAGGACAACCTGGCCATTTGCAGTGAGTGCATATCATTGTACTCGTCTTGACACAGTGAACTCGAAACTACCTTCAAAATTTGCGGAACGATTCTCTGAGCGGAGTTATGGAGGTTTTCCTTCACTGTTTTTCTTCTTGTGGGTGGGCTGGCGCAGTGAATTTGCACCTGTAGCGCGACTCACAGCTCTCTCCGTGCGAAATAGATATCATATTCGTTCAGGGGGTCAAACAACCCCTAGAAAAGAAACCTTGAGGAAATCCGAGGTTCTGACTCAACTTCGAAAAAATGGGGTAGAGATGGTCGCGCCTGGATGATAGCCAATAATCCGACTAGCATACTGGTGATGACTGGTCTTTGCACTGAAATAACCCTTCAGTCATGTCTTTTCGCAAAGAACAATACCTGGCTCACTTGTTCGTGCCGCCTGCATCATTTTCCTGATTACCGGTAGAAATTCCATCCCAAGACCAGTCATCCATGGTGGGTGGACCCCAGCCTGCTGCTAATTGTCCATAGAATGGCCCACATTTTCCAAGTTAGGTCGAAACGTCAGATTTGGCTAGAAATTAGTCCCCAGGGGTAATCCAACCCGCTGAACATAAATGTGATGGTATTTCATTGCAATAACCCTTCTGACATGAGCTACGAGGGGCAGCACAAGCACGCTTTCAGGCCACAATGTGGCCACAAGTATATGCCTTCAAATGGCATATACTTGACTTATTTCCACTGCCAGACACACAGGCACGCGAATGAATGGAAAGCTGAAAAATGCAAAACATTTTCCGCGAGAGGATCCGATCCACAAAGTCCCCCTTGCCGTGCCATCCAGAACCCGTCGTGTTATCCACTGCGCCATCCGATCCGTTTGCAGTGTGGTCGTGAAGGGAGCGCTGACAAAAACATCACTCTTGCGTCGGTGCATGCCAAGTGTGTTACCACATGATACTTACATTTTGACTTTAATCGAATCTATTTTGAGGCCTAATTAGTGACCACCACCTCATAAACTATGCATGCTCGAAGTTACAAGCAGAACGGAGCCCATTAAGGTTGTTAAAACCGCCCATTCTTGTCAAATTCTTTTCACTCAGTTTTTGACCTACCCAGAAACGCATAGCAAAAATGAAACCCATTTTTGTGATCCTTGTATGGACCCCTACAACAAGCAACAAACCATTTCCAAAAAGCGCGCCACGACCTGAAAGACCTCCCTTGTTAGTGACTTTCCGCATCTCGTGGTTATCCAACATCGATTTTCAGGTTGTCAAAATGGTGGCTAGTATCGGATGGAATCCTCACTATCAGAACGAGAAGAAAACTTTGGTTAGTTGTGCTCGAAATTTTCGTATTGAATTCAGCATAGACTGTAAATTGACAGAAAAGATTTTGAAATACCTATCATGGAGCGGCGTTTGAAGACAGTTCCCGCGATCAAGTGTAACAGGTGGCAGGTGCTCAGTCATGAACCGTAGCCCATCAAAAACTCATCAGTAGAGAGAACGCGAAAAAAGTTTGGGAACACCCTGAGAACAGACCCCCTAGTGAGGAGCCGGCACGAGTTGGACGAGTTTATCTTGAAGACAATAATCAGCAAGATTCCAGGTGCTGCTCATTCGCCCTACGACGCTCCAGGCAACGCTACGTACACGCGCAGTTTTGCTTATGGGCCGT